CGGAGGAGCTGGAGGAAGTGTCTGGAGAGAGGGAGGTCTGGCCCCGCGACCCGGCCCCGGATAAGCGGAAGAAAATGGATGGATGGATGGATGACTGATTTTCATTTGTTAATTTCAGTACATTTTAATTTATTACTTTTGTCAGTTTCACATTATTTCAGTGACCATTGTGAGTTTCTCTTTAACAGAAGGGTACCAACAATTTTGTCCACATCTGTAATTGCGCATTGACCACTCTGCAAAATGCTTGAACAGCACATGCATAAGTCATGAATAAAGTATGAATATCACGTCAAAACAGCTGTTTTCACTTACACTTTCAAACTGTGATAAATAAATTCCAATCAAAGGAGGAGAGAGTAATATCAGTAGCACACACACACATATATACGTCTTCAAACACATGCAAGTGTTGTTCCAGACGAGCACGTTTTGTGTTGACATAGTAGCCATCCAGGTCACAGGAAACACCTGCCTCAAGCCAGTCCCCTGCTCATTGTATTGCTGTGTCAACACCCCTTGTGTGTGTGTGTGTGGAAATGCAGTAAGGAAGCAGCAGCAGAAATGCCTCACCCATCCCACCTGACCCTCAGCAGAAAACGAGCTGACCCGTACTGTTGCTGTCCCTCTCTCTCTATTACTTTCTCTCTCTCCCAAGCTTGTTAGCTCCCAACACCATTTCTCTGTCTACTCAAACGGCCAGCAATTTCTCATCCATGACACTGCATTCACTTCATCAATCAATGTCAGGGCTTGTGACCACAATCTCACACCAACACACAATCATAACTTGCTCACTGGAATCTGTGCATTCAAACACACACATTTACAGAAACTTACAAGCGCTTTTAGGTTTGTGTGTGTGTGTGTGTGTGTGTGTGTGTGTGTGTGTTAATATTAAATGCACTGGAGGTGTATAGTTTTTCCACAGGGTTCTTTATATTGTGTGCAACTACAAAAGTCAAAGTAAATTTTATAAACATTAGGCCACAATTTCAAAAAATCCCAAATTCATAGATTAAAGTGATATATCACAACATTTATTATATGCTATATTCTTATGAGAGCCATACATTACAGTTCTTTCATTACCTCAGTAGTTGTCAGCAAAGCTACTTAAGTTTTTATTTAGCAATTTTCACAAAGTTTACTTCTACTCAAGTAATATTTGAGTAAGGTTAGGGGTGGGTAATATAAATTAAATCTAACACCAATAATAATAAACAATTACACATTGTTTTCTGGAATTTAATTAAAAACTGTTATAGATAAAAGAACCAAACAGGAATCTCTGTTTTTGTCTAATTCAATCAATTCAAGGGAGCTCCTCTGACTTTGCACATCATAGTCTGTTTACAGGCATTAGGGGAAACTACTTCATGTATGGGGGGAAAAAAATCTGTATATACTCATATGAATGAAGTGTTCTAATGGTCTTCCCACTACTGGCCATGTAGGAGGAGAAAATAATTACACCACTGTCACAAAAACAAACAGAAAAACAGTCAAATGAAAAGACATGCACTACACATGCACTAACTCACTAAAACTAATTAAGTTGGCACTGTGAAGCATCCACACTATGTTATCCTATTCTTTATTATTCTGGTTTCTTCCATCCGTTTTTTTTTTTTTTTTTGGCACCTGACTTCTTCAG